AGTGAGTGTAAGGTAGAAGTTGCTTATAACTTTGAGTCGTTGAGAAATGTCCTTTTGGGAGCTAAGATAGTTAGGGGCAGCTTCTGAGCTTACAGCTAAATGGGTAGCATTGAAAATCTTGAAGGCAACCGTTTTGGTTTATAAATAATACTGTGGTTTATTGGGGGGCTATCATTGATTAACCACTCACAATTTAAATATCTCAAGGATTCAGGGGTGGGCTCTCCGTTTTGGTATATAAATAATACTGCAGTTTATATGCGAGTGAGATACAACAACATCCAAGCCTTAATCCCAAAAGAAATATATGCGAGTGAGATATGAAAGAAAAGATTATCCAACCTCAAAAGCACTCCCATTTTGGGCCATAAAAATGGATGCAGGCCACAACCAAATTCTTGAAAATTCAATGCCTTTTGGGCCATAAAGCTTAAAATCATAAAGCTTAAAAATAGCATCAAAAAGAAAAATGAATGGTTGCCTTTTTGTTTGCGTGTGTACTTTAGTGGCTGACTTTCCTTAATTAATATAACTGCCCGTTTATCAGATTGTTAGGAAGCTGGAAGCGGTCAATCCTACAAAACAGCCTCTGAAGTCTCCTTTCTTAAATGGAAAGTGGGAACTTTTGTATACAACTTCACAATCAATACTCCAAACAAATGTAAGTCTTAATTACCTTGCAAAAACACTCGTTGTCATATGATATATGTTTATATTGTGAGTATTATGTACTAACATCGTTTGTGAACAGAGACCAAAGTTCTTAAGATCAAGAACAAACTACCAAGGGATCAACATTGACACCCTTCGAGCACAAAATATGGAATCTTGGCCCACCTTCAACCAGGTAATTGGATTCTTGAAATTACACTGCCCGTTTCAGTTTGTTTTTTAAATATTTGAGTAGTAAAAGAGAAAAAAGGATAACCAAACATACACAAACCATATAACTAGCTAAAGTGTGGACTAGATTTGGTACCGTGTGTTGAACTGGGCCAAGAGTGCAACACCAAGGTAACGTGCAAAGGTGCATATAACTAGTTACTTTATGGGCCTTCCTCCTAATAAAAAACTGAGTTAATATCGTGCGAGTCAATGACACACTTAACAGATATATAAACGTATACCATACTTGATCTGCTGGTCATAGGTGGTGGTGCACTGGGGCTCATGCACCCAAAGGTGAAAACATCCAATATTTTTGAAATTTCAATTAAAATTTTCAACTTTGAATTATTGTATATCTACATAGGGGGTAACAAAATCTTTTTAGAGTCCAGAAGAGAAAACATTATACTGCAACATTTTAAGAAATAATTGGGTAATATCAAATGATACATTTAAAAGATTGATATCTGATTATCTTTTCTCAAGAACTTATAAAAATTGTATTTTCCAACAAGAATCAAATATTGATCTTCAAATATCGTACAATGTTTCCATAAATTCAAGGAGCCAATGTTTCAATAAAGATTGATATTTTAATCCTTGCATGCACCTCACTTACTTTCTACATTTCGAATATGGGAATTAGTGAACTGCAATATTAGTTCCAACTGATGATGAGTATGATAAATAATTCTAGCAAGTTATTATTATAGTAATGGAAGACAATACATCGAAATAAGAATTCAATTCACTTTTTCTGCAGGTGACAGCAGATTTAACTCCAATAAATGCAAGAAAGGTGAATGTAAAGTTTGATTACTTCAAAATTGTAGGGCTGGTATGTTCATCTATGTTCTTATGTTTTTATTGATAATACAATGGATTAACTCATGTAGTTGACGTAATTTCATATTTGTTTCGTTGGGAAAGTTTTAATACTAGTTCCCATTCTGCCATTCATAAAGAAAATAATGTTTACTTGTTTAATGCTAATCTGTGTTTTTCCTCCATGGACTGCAACTCTTTTCTCTTATTGATTGAGAGCGTAATTATACACTCTTTTTAATGACAGATACCAATAAAAGCTCCTGAAACAGCTCGTGGGTCACTGGATATTACTTACTTGGATGAAGAAATGAGGTATCTGTCATCCATTTTTCTGCACAGCGCATTTCCATAGAATTAAACTGTTGTTTATCTCATTTACATAGTATGATGTCGTGTCATTAACAGAGTATCAAGAGGTGATAAAGGCAACCTCTTCATTCTGAAAATGGTGGACCCCTCTTACCGGGTTCCTCTGAAATAGCCACCATGAAGAGATCTTTCCTTTATATGTGTGTATGTGTGTAGCCTAGTTAGGGGTCAAATCCTAATTAGGTTATGCTAACAGGTGATTAATTTGGATGAAAGTTGACCTGACAAAGAGGAATAAAGTGGGGCATTTGGATCTTTATATTGTAAAATTTGGGACATTAAATTAGTTATCTCCACATATTGTTCAAAAGTACAGAATTGATACAAATAATGGTGGTATGAATCATCATATCCAAAGCATTACAACATGAACATACAAATAATGAAGGAGAGCACAAAGCAAACTTGCATAACAAAAATGGGGTCAAGGTCACCAAGCACTGTGAGTCCTTACCAGATATATAGGGGATATCACAAAGCAAGTCAATAGCCACATTGTCAACACACCAAGAAAAGATAAGTTGATCCAAAATCAAAGTTTAAAATTTTTAAACGCGAGAAATAAAAATTCACACTAACACTTGGTACTCTTCTAGAGTTCAGGATTTAGGCTTTATATTATACTATAGTGATTTATTGTTTTAACATATTGTATTGGTCTACTATAGTGATAAAGTTCTAAATAGATGCATATGTTTTAGTTGGCAATTTTCCCGTTAAGATTATTTTCTTGTCAAAACCCTTTTAGATATGTTCAAGCCATTTGAAGGCACGTGGAATGAGGAGGGAAGTCTTTAATAAATAGGGAAAATGGAAACTAATAATCCAATTTTTTTGCGGTCTTCTTACAATAGTCTCACCTTTCCGTTATTCATGAATGATCCAATCTTTGAATCTCATCTTCATTCGTTGGTCCCTTATCGGTTTATGACATGCTATTCCAAGTTATTTTCTTATCTTTGCAAATCAGTATACTATAAATCACACCTTTACAAAGATAATATTTTGTAAAGATAAGAAAATAACTTGGAATAGACGGTCAGGGATCAGCTAATGAAGATGAGGTACAAAAGTTGGATTATTCTTGAATAACGAAAAGGTGGAACTATTTTAAGAAGACCGCTAAAATGTTGGATTATTAGTTTCCATTTTCCCTAATAAATACTCATTTTTACTGTGATCACTGTCAAAGAAGTGGCAAGGAAAGGAAAAAATGCTGCGTCTATGTTGGGTTTTTGCCTTTGCAAGTGCTAAGAAAAAATTAGTTTTGATTAGAAATTTCAAAACTATTCACATGTTCAGATTTCTGTCTATATATAATATACAGAGTAATTAATAAATATATAAATAGAATGTGTTTGAACAAATATCTAAAATTAATACGGAGTATGAGTTTGAGCTAAAATGTTTCCACTCTGGTAGGATTTAAAGGGTGTGATCAAACGCAAAATAAAATCTAACACTTGCCTTTATAACATATATATGGAATATGAGTTTGAGATTGGCAACTCCAGGGCCAGAAGCTAACCAACATAATGGCATCTATCAGCTCGCAACAGTTCCTACTTATGTGCACAGATCATCTCAGTGCCAACATTCCAAATATGATTTTAACAAGAGCACACACCACAAAAAGGGGAAAAGTTTAGCTTTGATGAACAAATGAATTTGAAAGACATCAAGAACTCAATGTTACCTTTCAGTTGGTTACTTAGAATATGGCCATTTGTTTCCCAAAAATGCATATTCTTTTAAGATGTACTCCTTAGCTCCTTATTATGTACTCTTCATCCATCTATTATTACATCCAGAGATAATTGTTCATTATTTTCAAAACTATTTGAGTATCACATAAACTCTTCTAAGGTTTAAACCATTAATAGCTTCTTTCCAAAGGCTCTTCACAAGCAGGTCTTTAGTGGCAGAATCAATCAATTATATAATAGCACATTTCCTCAAAAACTCTCCAAGAGAACCTTATACAGTTATACTTATGTATGACAACCTTATACATATAACCGTCCAATTCGAGCCCACTCTTCCTAGCCATCCCAAACAATCTCTGCACCGTTTCGATACCCCACCTGAAGTGCAAAATGGTGCATATATCAGCCCTGAATATGTTTGCGTGTGTGGAAAAATATGACGCATATACATCTCTTCAAGTATGACAATGACATTGACAACATCAATTTGCATTTCGGTAATGTCCTCATAGAGATGAGTATAGAAATAGCCAACCATTTCTGGGAATCACATCACACACTGTTTTTGCAAGGTGGAAGACCTTTAGGAAGTATCACAATTTTGGATACCCCATAGAAGTGAGTTATTAACATGAGTGTGTTAAATGACAGGCTTAGCCCTTATCTTTCCATCTTGGAAAAACGTTTATCGACTAAGTGAACGCATCCTTGATGGGGTTGACGGGCTAACTTGGCAAGCATTAAGGAATTGCTTTTAGGGATTCAATGAAAAACAATGGAATAAGAACAACAATGTGAAGTGAGTGAAGTTGTACTTTTGATTTATTCAGTTCTCCGACTATGGGACACATATAGTTGAGAAAATGAACTTGTAACCTTGCACTTCGTATAACCTAACTATGGAACGAGAATAACAATGTGATCAACATTGTTCTATAACAGAGGTTGTATGCATTTTTGTTCAAATCCCAGAAACTAGATACACTGATTTCAGTTGAAATATCACTACTTTTCCAACATAAAAATTAAAACAAAGTGTTTTACACTTAAAAACTATTAACCTCAAATCAAAAGCCTTGATTCAAATCATGTTAACTATTTTGGGACTGGTTCTACATATACCCAATTAACCCAAATGAAATGACTATTTCTATAGGACCATAGGTCCATTGAAAATGCACCTCATAAGCAGACAATATTATGTGTCACGTTTTATCATTCAGTTAAAATGTGACATTTAAGAATGTCAACTAACAATATACGGATCTTGTGATCATACAACCCATAAATATTGAACAAACTCAAGAAGCCTGTTTCAATTCCATAGATCTATCAAAAGATCGAAAGTCTGAGGTAAGATACAAGTCCAACATAACGTTATATGTTACACTTGCACTAGCATCCATTAATCCAATACAAATTTTGGCGAACATATAGCCCCAAAATTACATAATGCATTTGCACTCACACTAAAAGTGTACTAATAAAACGAAACATTTCAAAAGATTATACAGAAAAGTGAAAACATATATGGAGTAGATCAGAACAAGTGGATGCGACGAGCTTAATACATGAGCCCGCTAGCCCTAAATATGCATATATAGAGCTAGCTAGCTAGCTTAGAACAAGCACAAAACTTAACTCTGCATTTATTTATATTAATAATGTGGCTCTGGCCAGCAAAATGTAGACCGGTTTTATCAAGCTGCATTGACCATGTACTTCATCCCGCCCGCGCAGTGACCTGGGAAGCTGCAAATGAAGTAATTTGGTCCCTTTTTCAGAGTGAACACATCATTCCCCGACGTCAATACCTTGTCGACTCCCAGCCGCGGCGCACCGCATTTGTCGTAGGTTTCCTTACTCACGGCTACCACGTTGTGGGTGCCCTTTGGGTACTTGAACACTACATGCATCATTACTTATTTAATCAGTTTCTAACACATCAGGGCACATGACTATTGACTATGGGCTGCGAGTCCTATTATTGTTGGGTTAGATTTTACTCTCTATGAATACACGATCTCTCCTTGTAATCATTATCAAAAAATAGTAGTAACATTTGGGCTTGATAGTTCCCCAAACATAATCATTCTTAGCGAACTGAGTTACCAATCTCTTGTGTTCTTTCTTATCGTTCTTCGTATTGTGATTGTTTAAATCGTAACATGTTGCACACATGGCAGAATAAATATATATAGACACATAAGAATAAATTAAAAAAAACGTTTGTTTCTTTGCTTTCTAGGCGAGTGGGCGTAGTAAAATTTAGTTACTTTTAAATAAAAAATAATTGAATACATATAACACTGTAAAAAGAATATAATGTGAATGGCTTTTTTGTGTTTATATTTTTCCTGTCACGTATGCATTGTTGAGACTTTTAGAGCATCTTCAATGCAAAAATGTGAACGATGCATATGTGGCATGAGAGACATTCAATTAAAAACAACGAATATAATATCTTTCTTTTTATTTGAACAGTCTAATATGTTTTTTTGTAAGGTTTTCTTCACAACGTCAAGCACAATGTCTAGATGTAGACATTATCAAGTACAATGCCTAAATGTAGACATTGTGGTTGACATTATTCAGAAATACTTAATTAAAACACGTAAGACCGTAAAAAAGATAGAAATGTCATAGATTTAACCCTTTGTGTCTATGTCTCTCATTTCACATGTACATCGTGTTTATTGTTACATTGTAGATGTTGTTACATTCGAGTGCATGTGAGTATAGGCACCATTTTTTCTAATCAATTACTCCCTACTTTATTATGCACAATATGGTCAAAGCTCTTAGTGGACTTTGGCCTCGTTTGGATATTGGCGTTTCAGCCATAAATCGGCGTCTTTGACCATTTTAGCTTGTTGGACCATCGCAACCGCTATTCTTTTTGTGTTTGGCAAATAGAGGCTGGAAGAAGCGATTGAGATGAAACCGCCAAAAATCAACACGCTACTAACCGGAGCGTTTTGGTATTGGCGGTTCGAAGCAATTAGTGAATTCCACCGATGCCCTTTTTGTTGTGCAACCATTTGTCGTTTCAAATTTTCGATGCTCCTCTCTAATTTCTCTCCTATGCAAGACGCACATTGGATTGACACTTGCAGATTATTCTCATATACACGTATTACTCCTCTAGAATAATCAGGGGCGGATGCACCCTTTAAACAATGGGGTCACTTGCCCCCAATAACATTATGCTTTCTAGTTTATTTTTCCTTAATTTTTTGTCAATGGTTAATAGTGCCCCCAACAAAAAATTTGGATGCCCCCATCAAACCATATGATTCAAAAGTTGCAAAGAGACGACCATGTGCCATGAAACTTATTTTTTTGTAAAAGTCCACTATCATTTAAACCTTATATTATTCTAATTTCTAAAACCTAAAAAGAATGGTTGAGCAGTACAGTTAAGCAAGATTAGTTACTATCGAAACAGTTTTCCAAAAACTACACGTACTTAACAATTGGATTTGTCAATTATCCAGTCGACTAACTAAGATTTAAAATTACTTGATTTTTTGCCTTTAGTCTCATAATAAGGGGTGTTAATTATAGGTTTAATTTCTCATAAATTTTTTTGAAATAAAATATATTTATAGAGATATGACTAAAATTAATTAGTAAGTACAATGTCATGATTCATTTAAGCATAAAATTGAGCTTACTTAGATTAAAAATTTTAATCGTACGTCTTTAGGACTTTTTTATTTACTTATTTAGGGATATGTGTAAACCTAGTTGAAGAAAAAACAATTAGAAAAGTTGTTAGGTTAGACTTTAAGTAAATATATAGACTAACCAAATATTTAGTTTATATATTTACTTCCTTCTTAGTTAATAATAACTTTATAATATTTTTGTATGTAATGAATATTCTCAAAATAGTACGGAGTATTAAAATATAACAAATTGATGAGGTTTTTCGAAAATATTACTAATAAAAATGTCATGGACAAAATGTGATTTGGTAACTATTAGTTACTATAGGTGTGTTCAAAGTTTACATCACAAGCACTACATTATAGTAATTTGAACCAATTATAGTCTCTAAAAGTTACATAAAGTCACATTTTTGTCCATCATGTTTTTAGAAGTAATATTAGTGAAATTTTTTCTAACAATTTTCTCAAATAAGAATATTATTATTTCCTTCCCCAAAAAATAAAAATTATGCGAAGAGAACATATCTGTTAATAGTACTAAATAAGTCATGCATCTTTTAAGAAGAGAACATATCTATCCTAATTTAGAACTTTATCTGTTCCGTATGTTTTAATCCTATTTTGTTATATATGGCGACGGCCGGATAGAATCTCCTATATAAGAACTTATTTGACTCCTTTTATGCAACTTCGTGGACCGAACTGATTATTTACTCTTTTATTTAGTAATTATATGGTGCCCCCAATAACTAGATTTTCTGGATCCGCCCCTGAGAATAATCCATTGGAATTAATCCATTGGATCTCAATTGATTTCAATGGGTATTGAAATTTGTTTTATTATTATAATAATTACAGAGTATTATTATTATTATTATTGATCATCATGTTTTGAAGATTCAGGTTGGGAAAAATCCTCGGTGATCAGGTATTGAAATTTGTAAATACGTATCTATAATTCTATATACTTCGTAATACTTTGCAAATTTCTCAATTTTTTATCCTTCTATTTTGGTTTTTTTTTAATAGCTATGAATTCATTAATTTTTTATTATTATGTTCTAATTTAGTTAATTTTGATGCAAAATTTACATATATTACGTACGTATAAATTAGTATAGTACTAAATTTAAATTAATGAAAAAACAAATGCTAAAATTTTATAATGTCCCTTTTGGTCTTTTTCCTATTAACCGCTGCATACAAACAGCCAATTTACCAAACATTTTTCTGCACCCGCGAAACAAACCCGCTAGTCAAATTCGCTGATTGGATCCGCTATTTACTACCCGCTAATATAATCCGCTATCTGTCAACCGCTGACCGCTAAGTGCCAAACAGACCCTTTGTAATTGTCAAATAGGGGCGGCTGCCTTAGGCAAAAAAAAAAAACCGAAAAAAATAGGCCCGATTCTTTATATATATTGTGAGTAGGCTTTTTTTTAATTCTTAAGTTTAATTAATTAGGCCTAATGTTTTATTTTGACAATTTGAAAATTTAAAACATAAACAAAAAGTTTTAAACAGAGCCAATTTTAAAAAAGAATATATGCACTGTCTTTTAGAATCTGTTGTAGTTTTTAAAAACAATATATACAATTGTTGCTGGATCAATAAAAGACACATCTCTTGAGCCTTCACGTATCTTAGCCTTTAAGGTTTTTTATTCAGTTTAATGATTACATAACAAATTTATATAATTACTCCCTCCGTCCATAAAATTCTTGCCACTTTGACTCGGCACGGAGATTAAGAAAGTGGAATAAAATGGAAATGTGTGGTTGTGGTTGTGTAAGAAAAAAGTGAAATGAACGTGAACCACACAAATTGTTAAAATGGTTAGTGGGAAGAATTTTTTGGGACGGCTCAAAAAGGAAAGTCAGAAGAATTTTATGGAACGGATGGAGTATTTTCCAGGCTCTCAAATCCATCCCATTTACTTATTTGTTTCAAACTTCAATAAACTATATTTGAGTTCCTAATAGTAGTTTTAAAGGAAGTCAAATTGGCAATTCTTCTCACACGAGTTTTCTTGGCGGCCAATTATTGTCCCTATGAAAACTTTCGTTCTTTCGAGAATTCAAATATTAGACTTCTAGCGATCAATAAATTATTCTCAACTCATGAATTCAATATGTACGTAGTGATATTTCTTTTCATTTATCCTTTGAATTGTAACGGAAAGAAAGTTTTGTGTTATTATACGTGAAAATTTTATTATTTGTTATCTTTACTATTGGAAAAAAGGTTGAATATGAAGTGATTATTGATGATTTACTTGACAGTGTTATGCAAAAAACGTTTTTACGTAATGTTTTTTTCTTTTTGTATGATACTCGTGGTGCTACTTTTGCCCAAATATGTAACTTTAATAATACTCCGTAGTAAAGTGATTTTGGTCTTTATTTTATGAACTTTATTAGACATTTTTATTATAATTCATATAAATATGACTTAGAGTTTGTCTTGATATAAGCGCTGGTTGTTCCTTCGTTACTTGTAAGGTATTAAAGTTGTTACGGAAAGATAAATACGTAGTATATTAATCTTAGGACACTAACACATTGATGATCTATTATATCATGTTTTTTCTACTCTTTCTTTGAAAATCTTATATAAATAATCCCACATTTCACAAATCTGCTCAAAATGATCTCATCTTTCATTTTTTCTTTTTTCTCCCTAATTTTTTTCTCTTTATTTTCATCCCTAGACACTTTTTATTCCTTTTTCTATCCTTTTGTTTTATTTCTTTTCCATTTTTAATATTCTATTTCTTACTCTTTTAAGAGATTTTTTTTGTAAAATTTCTCTTCAAAATAACTCATTTTTTCGTTTTCTTTTTCTATCCGCATTTGATTTCATTTTCGGTTTATTTTTTTCTTAATCATTCTCCTCTTATTAAAGATCCTATTTTAAAAGTGAAAATTTAAAGAAAACAGGACTTACCAAGTGAGTCGCCGGCTTTATAGCGCGCTCCGTTATTGCCTTTGAAGCTGAACGTCCAAGGAGGAAGGGAGTAAACGGCAGCTTCAGCCATCTCCGCCGGAAGAAGCAGCAAACACAGCACAACCGCAGCTGCGGCGGCGCATGACGATGACATCACTCCTGCACTGCCTCTTCCCTGCTGATGACGACACTTCCCGGCCATCCTTGTCGGATAATTAATTAATTAATTACTCGTTTTTAGTATACACCGGCCAGTAGTTGCTTTCCTGTGTTTATAATACGGAGTACTATAATCGTCTTGATAAGTAATCAACCGGAGGTTTAATTTATAAGAAATTCGCGCCATGCGCCATGCATGTGATACTATTCGCATATAGGAGTACTATTCCGGTCAAAATTGTCACTTTTTTCTAGGGGTGGGCATAAAACCCGAACCGAACCGGTGCCGAACCGGACCGTAATGGTACCAAACTGAATATCGTGTATTTAAACGGTTTTATAGATTTTTATTCCGAACCGAAATCGTACCGTTTGAAACGGGTACGAGAACGGTTATAGATTTTGAGAACCGAAAAGAACCGGAACGGACCGTTCAAAACTAATGCATTAGAATTTTTTATATTTTCTTTCATACCAATAAATATATTTTATAGACCAACATTTTTATACCCAAATATGCATTCATGTGTCCCTAAAATAGCAAAATGTGTGTGTTTATATGTATATTGTTATTTTTCTTTTTAATTAATTTTTTGTTATATTTTGTTATGTATTGAAAGAAGGAGAAAACAATTAAAATATTCCAAACTTTTGCGTGATTTAAATACCCCAAACTTTATTTAAAAAGTTATTTTAACACCATGGTTATGAATTATTTTTTTCAAAAATAACAAATTTTTGTGTTAATTTCATAATTTAAAATATTTTAGCATTCATGAAGATACAATTAACATTCTAAACTTCCATTGTAAAATAAATAGTACCACCCCCACTCTATATAATTGCAACATTTTCAATTTGCTATTTTAAATTATGCAATTAACATAATAAATTAACATTTTTGAAAGAAATGATACATCATCATGATGTTAATAGAACTATTTATATAAAGTTTGGGATATTTAAATTACATATGAAAGTTTGGGGTATTTATCTCACACTCCTTCAAAGTTTGGGGTATTTTAATTATTTTTTCCTTGAAAGAATGTTAAAGTTTTAAAAATCGTTAATGACTATTCATTTGTAATAATGTAGTGTATATGAATTTTTGTTGTATCATGTTTGTGCAATTGTACAACTTAATTAATATGGTTTAAATCGTAGCTCTCACAGTTCAACTATAAATTAAATTAGAATTTTTCTTATACTCCCTCCGTCCCATTTTACATGTCCTACTTTCCTTTTTGGGTTGTCTCAAAATAAGTGTCTCCTTTCCTTTTTTGGAAAGAAATACTACCTCCGTCCCAAATTGAGTTGCAAATTTGACTTTTCTTAGTCAAACGGTCTTGTTTTGTTCACTTAATTAGGATGCCGATTTTTAATTATTAAAATTTGAATTAGTTATCCATATGGATGGTTGACTTTTATTATTGGTTGACCAAAAAATGTTGACTTTGCAAAACAAATTGGGACGGAGGGAGTATGTGGTCTACACCATTTCTCTTTATTATACTCAAATCTCAACCACAAATTTTACTTTTTCAACCATTTCATTAATAACCGTGCCAAGTCAAACTAAGACACATAAAATGCGACGGAGGTAGTAATATTTTTTAATTAATATTTAACCTAGAATAGAGAAGAACGTTGATTTTTTCTATTATATTGAACAATTTGATGATATTCTTTTTATATTTTCACATGAACTTAATATATGAAAGATGATATTTATCTCGTGTATCATCATTTTGCTATACTTTTTCTTAAGTGTGTTGCACTATTTGTGTATTTGTGAACTTTAGTACTACTTATGCAATTTCTTGTATTTATATGAGCACTTAATGTGAGTTGGTTGGTGTGATGTTATTTATTAATTGCAAGATTTGTCCAACTTTTTAGCATGTATTTGGTATTGTACCGTACCGTTTTGTACCGTTCCGAAACGACATGGTACCGAATGGTTCCATCATTAGAACCGGACCGTACCGGACCGTTAGAAACCTCGCGGATACATTACGGGTTTTACTAATTTCCCGGACCGTTCCGGACCGCGCCCACCCCTACTTTTTTTTCACTTAAGATTGGCTCAATTTTTGTTTTCAACTAGTCACACTAAGATTATCTCATATCAAATTTGATAAAGTTTATACGGTTTTAAATCATTCTTATTTACTAGACCATAAAATTTCAATCCAATTAAAAACATGCTTAAATGTAAAATTTGAATATAATTTACTATGATTAAAGTTACGAACTGCTATAATCACTACTTACATTTTTGGAATCAATCTTAATTTAAATCATAAATAAGTACTAATTTCCTTTTAACGAGAGAATTTCTAAAAGATACGGAGTAACATACTCCCTCCGTCCCGAAAAATTGTTCCCGCATGGACTTGGAACGGAGTTTAAGAAAGTGGAATAAAGTGAAAATGTATGGTTGTGGTTGAGTAAGAAAAAGGTAAATGAATTATAGCCACAAAAATTTTCTAAAAGGGGAAAGTGGAACAATTTTTTGGGACGGCCCAAAAAGGGAACCGGGAACAATTTTCAGGGACGGAGGGAGTATAATATTATATAACATAGTTTTTTTATTGAACTTATTTGAATCTAAGACCAGACAAGGGATGTTTTTACTTGGGCTATAATTTACCAATTTGATTTAATCTGATCTGTTTAAGTCTGATCCGGTTTGTTTAGATCTGGTCTTGTCTGAACCGATCTGATCTGGTGTATGTCTGATTTCTTTGTATTTTATAACTACGGAAGTCTGGTCTGACATGTATAGGTCTGGTTTGAGATGGTCTAGTCTGATTTGGTATGGTCTTTGGACTCAAAATAATCCAAGTGAAAACATCCTAGTTATACAAGGTCAGACTCGTTTAGACTTCGACATATTAAAATCCACACAAAGCATACATTTAGCATACCTGATCAAATCAATTCAAGTAGAATTAGATGAGACTATACAAGAGAATTTGTGTTCGGTTAGATCAAAAGCACCTTAAGATTGCTTTAGGAGAAAAAATATTTAGTTCTATTGTACGGAGTAATATTATCCATAGTTTATAATTGATGATTTTATATTAAAAATATTATTAGTTAAATTTCATGAAAGGAGTTTTGTGATATAGAGAAAGTAACATGCACATTTGCACCGTTGGATATGATGGGAGAACCCGACAGGTGCTTGAATGGAATTGGAGTAGTGGACGGTCTTGATCAGAAGAAAGCAAATGCCCAGCCCCATAATGTTCAGCTACTGAACAGAACATGCCATAACTTACTGTCTGTCTCATTAATATTACTACCTTCCCATTGGACATTGCACGCTATAATTTAAATGAGACATAGATAAAATAAAAAACAAGTGATTAGAATTTAAACGAAAGATAAATAATTGAGCAAAATAAAAAAATCTCTTTTTATTTGCCCAAATTCCTTTTTTGAGACTATTAAACTAATTGTCTCACTTTCTTTTTAGAAAAACTCACTCAAAAAATAGTAACAGTATCCCTACAGTGTTACTACAGTATCATTAAGATATCAAAAGCTCTTACTTTTCATAAAATCTAGTAATTATTTGAAACTATGTAAAAAGTAAACATGTCGATTAATTAGATACCGAGTATTACTTTGATTAAAAATGACAAAAGAAAATTAAACAATAAAAAATGAAAACAATATTAACAAAGTCCGGAAGAGAGGAGGTATTTAATGATAGTTGGACTTTTGAGTGCATAATATTACCAATGATGAATGGTAGGTAAGTAGGTTTGTGGAATTTAATAACTTGTCGGCATTAATGGGTTCTGGTCTCAAATAGACAGATAGCCATGAGCACTGTCCCTCGTACGGAGTTTACATATGGGAGTCACATTATATGGAGAATATAATGTCCAATATTAGGGATGGGAAAAACCGAACCGAAATCCGGAAACCGGTCCTGAACCGACCCGAATTATGATCCGGTCCGGGTTTTTTTTAACCGGCCCGAATTAAAAAAGAACCCGGATTGAATCGAAAATTACGGGCTCATTAGCGGGCCTTAAAATCTATAACCCGGCCCGAACAGAAAAAACCCGAATCAATTAGTTTTAATATAAAATTAATATAGTATATGAATATAAATAAAATATTTCCTAATATATTACTCCCTCCGTAACATTTATATCTTCTCACTTTCCCTTTTTGGATGTAACATTCATATCTTTCCATTTCTTAATCTTCCAATTACACCCTCACTAATTTTAAAAATAATACACTATTACACCTACTTTTTTTGGATTTATCCTTCATTCCATCACATTATTTCACTATCTTCCCATCATACCCTCAATAATTTATATTCTCTTTCACTATTGTTAATCTACCTACTTTTCAAATGGGAACATATATATGTTACGGAGGGAGTATTATAATCACGGTGGATAAAAAAAGATTTAGTAACTTTTAGTGACTACAAATATGTTGAATATGTTTAGCGTAATGATGACCATGCGAATATATTTATAGCAACTCTAGTAACTTTTTTATTTATAAAATTTATTTTGTAATATTTTTAAGAAACCTATATTATTTATATATATACATCTTACATAAAATATTAAGATAATTGTGGTTTGTATTTTTGATTAATTTTATTTGAAAATAAGTGTTAAAATATAAAAGAACAATGACATATTTCACGTTCGGGCTTTAACCGGTCCAACCCGAACCCGGACCGAACCCGGGCTACCAAAAACCCGACTCGGACCGAATATAATGGGCTTTGTCCCGGTCCCTAATTTTCATAACCCGAGATATTCCGGGTAATTTCCGAGTTTAGCAAAAACCTGACCCAGACCGGACCGATCCCACCCCTATCCAATATAATCTCAACCACAAATCTATAGTCACACAATATGACTATAGAGTAGTGAGTTAGGGGTTCTATATTTTCGTTCAACCATTAAGTCATACTTGTTTCGTTATTTAAAATTTTATCAAGTTCGATCACCACAGAGATTGATAAAGCAAAAATGTGGTTGGGATTTGTATAAAAGAAAACGAATTAATTGAAAACACAAATTATTTACTTAAAAGAAAAAATGACAAAGTTAGTGAAACAACCAAAAAGTAATATTAGCAAAGTTTTAAATGACGGAGAGAATTTATATATGACAGAATTGAAAGGATGAAAATTTATTTATGGAAATTGACTTAGTCATTAACCTGAAATATAATACTCTTTCCCATTAAAACGTTTAGTTAGACGTTTTTTATGTTGATTTTTTTAAAATCGATTATGAAATATGTTTATGTCAATAAATGGAGTTTCTTATTGCCTTTACATCTCAAGAGTAACACTA